TCACCTGACACGGCCACTTCACATCAAATGCGATAACATGAAAATAGCTAACTCACAAGAGATGTCAAAATGTGTTTTTATAAAAATATTGAATGTATCTATTTTATTATGAAAACAGGACAGTTGTACAAAAAACTTTGTATAATATTTGTGTTAAAAGTAAGTCTTATTGTGTTCGTGAAATTGCTCAACTCGCTACGCTCGTTTCGCAAACTTTTTCAATCAAATTAAAACCTTACTTCTAACACTCATATCATAAATAGCTATTTGAAATGGGAAAACGAGAAAAAAAACAACACGGATTTTTTTTCATCATTAAAAGTTTCATCGATGAAACTAACTTGTGTACTTCTGATTGAACTCAACTTTTCGATTGACTCAAAAAATTATTAGCAATGTAATTTCGGCTTTCAAGAGTTTGGCCAATTTTCATTCGCCTGGAAAAGAATAAAATTGGTGAAAATACATGAGTAAATGAATTACTACAACTGTATTTTTTGATAATGATACATCTGAATCGATAACAAAGTATTTTTGTACAGTCATCATTAGCACCCTAGACATCTAGATGCAAATTTTCCTCGGTGTATTTTTTGGCGAAGACGCCAAGTTTGTATAGTTCATTCAAACCATCTGAAATGAACTTCAGGCGCTTTCAATGTTTTTCAAAACTGTCCTGAATAATCATAAATATGCATTGGGCTTTGGAACTGGTGGAATTATTCATATCGGTATAATGAACGATGTTCACTGAATATACATTTCTACTTATGGAAGAGAAGAATAAATAATTAGTACTCGTAAAGACAGTAATTGCTCAATTGTGTACCAACAAATAATTATTGATGAGTAGAAGTTGTGTTCATCGACAGACTAGGTCAACTTTTTTTAATAAATGTATATATTTCATTTTGATGAATAATAGTTTCAAACTGCTTGGTTTCTAGTAATGTTTTTTGTTTCGAAAAAATTGTGAAGTGACTAACAAATTGTTCATTTATATTGATGTGAGAAAACAGATATACTCATCATAAAAATCGTTAGCTGTTAGAATTATGCGGCTATGAGCTACTACATCATTATCTTTCTTCCGATTTGGGTTAATTTAGAGAAAATGGTTCCTGTATGCATCGAATTGAAATGAACACTTGTGTAGTATTGTTGAACAGATAATTTCATATTCTTCGAAATTGATCTATTGAAAGTGCTTTTCCAACACGAGAACAAAAATACTGTCTCCCGATGTTCGTTTCGCTACCAAGAGGAGATGACTGAAAGTAAAACTAAATAGATTAATTTACCGCCAGAGGTACTAATCTCATACAGTACGATGCAAATGTATGGAATAAATTCGATATTCACAAAAGGAGCGTCTTTCGGAAAAAATCCAAAAACAGGTCAACTTTAATTTTTGA